GCTTCTCAATATGGCGCTCCCCCTCTTCGGGGCTCACCGTGCCCACCTTGGGCTTCTCAATAGTCCCCCCACTTTCTCAGGGACTCATTGGGCCCACGCTGGGCTCCTCTAAAGTGCACTCCCCCTTTCTGGGGCTCGCCACGTCTACGCTAGGGCTTCCTAGCAGTGCCCCCTTCTGGGGCTCGTCATGCCCCCTCTGGGGCATCTCAAAGGTACCCCACTCTGGGGCTGGGATCTACATACCCCGCATGCAATCCGGGGTCCTTGTTCCCCGCTCGCAACCCACTGGTTGCGCTAGTGCCCCCTTCTGGGGCTCATCATGCCCCCTCTGGGGCATCTCAAAGGTACCCCACTCTGGGGCTGGGATCTACATCCCCCGCATGCAATCCGGGGTCCTTGTTCCCCGCTCGCAACCCACTGGTTGCACTCAGGGCCCCCACACCTCTGGGGTCCTGATGAGGCCTCCTCCAACCCCTACAGCCTCACCCAAGCCTCCGGTGTAAAATCAAAGCCAAAAATAAACTCAAGCCTCCTGGCTATAACTCAAACATAAAGCCTCCTGGCTAAACCATGGTGCCCAAACCTCTCAGAGCTGCCATCCTTCTCTCAGCTAGAGCAGTTCCTGCATCACTCACCTCCTAGCTCCTGCCCCTCTGGCTGCTGGCAGGGAACTGCCCACCTGGCCTCAGCCCTGGGCTTTATAAGGGCCAGGCCCTGCCTCCTACAGGCAGCTGGCTCTCCTTAGTTGCCCCGGCAACCCGCAGCTGTGCTTAATATGTTCTGCCAGGGCTCGCTCTCCCTGGCAGTTTCTACTCCCTAGGAGCAGGCACTGAGGTGCCCTGCGACAGTCATCATCTAAATACAATGGTGGAGGCATGCCATGTATTTATCTTGCTTTGCTTAGTTCTTAAAGTGAACTTAATACTGGTGCAAAGTGTCAAACTGACAATTCTGGAACATTAATTTATGTAAAGATGAATTTCGATTTTCTAAGCAACATACAGAAAAAGACACCTGTCTGTCACTTTACATGCCTCTGACATAAGTCAAGAATACAAGTTATTAAAATTAAGTACTTTGTTTATTCATGGACTGTGTGTAGCACAAACAAAGAAATGGCAAATATAATAAAAGTGTAGGGGATAAAAATTGCCTTTCAAGCTGCAGCGTCTGTTTTGACATAACTTTTAAACATAGAGGACTGGAAAACATTTTTTAATATTTCTAATCATGGATTTGAGGCATGGATGAATAAAGTAAATAATGTATTGTGGGACTATGTTCTCCTTGTGCGCAGAGAACTCATGCTGACATGATGAAAATAGCCTAAAATTCCTCAGCCAATTTGCCTGCAGGCCAGCCTCTCTGCAGTTGAGGACACAGGCAAGGATAGAGTCTTTTGCAGTCATCCTTGCTATCTGATCAGCCTGAAGAGGGGCTTCTGGCATGGATTCCAGCATGCAGAGGAGTAGCACAATTAGATATTTGCAGTGGTAGGTGGCTCAATGCATCAGCATTTGCAATCATTTTCTCAGGTTTGTACATGATATTTAGCATGATGCTCCAGCGTTACATATGGGGAGACAAAATAGGAGAAGTTGGTTTGTCCATAGTAAAAATTCCAAGACGTGGTTTGTGGTCCATTCGGATTTCAAATTTACAACCATAAATGTAATTGTGAATTTTTGTAACTCCTGCAATGACTGCCAATTCTTCTTTATCAATCTGTGCGTAGTTCCTCCCCCTTGAAGTCATTATTCTCGGTAAAAAGCAATGGTGCATCTGTGCCGTCAAGCAATGTGCGACTGAGGACAGCGCCAACACCAAACAGCGAGGCCACAGAAATTCCAAACTGGAGGCGCTTGACACAGAACGCTCCCTGGTGTGTAATTATAGTTTGGGCCTCAGGATCCTCATCATCCATTATCAATTGCTGATAGGCTTCAGCAAGGTCAAGTTTGGCAAAAACCTTCCTACCCCCAAGAACTGGGGTGACTGGTTAATGGCAGGCACCGGGTGTGGGTCCTGCTTAAGTGCTTTATTAACAGTGCGCTTGTAATCCCCACAGTGCAAACACTGCCATTAGGTTTTAAAACAGGAACAATTGGTGTGGCTCAGCTTGTATGTATGATTGGTTCAAGGACCCCTTGTGCTATAAGCCAATTGAATTCCGCATCAATTTTCAGTGTGAAAGGTACATTCTGAGCTTTCATAAAGATAGGGTCGATCGCAGGATCCTTTTGGAAGTCACAGGTGGACCAGAGTAAGTTCCTAATTCCTCAGAGAATACATGTGGAAACTCCCTTGCAAGCCTTTCCAGACTTTCTGTGCAGAGACTGTGTATGCCTTAAATACTGATCCCCAGTGGTGAGAACCAATTTCTCCCCAGAAGACTTTCGCAGGTATCCTTAGTGACAATGAGGGGTAGACACCGTCTAACAGATCCATACTGGACATCAACACAGCAGCTACCCAAAGTTTCCACACACTGTCCATTGTAGTCATGTAGCAAGAAACCATTTTTTTGTCTGCTCCCCCCCCCCCCATGTGAAGCCCTTCCATATGGCAAAAGCCCCTTTTGCAGTATTTGCCCCCTTTTGGGGATGCTTTCTCTTTTCTACCTTTTCTTCCTTCCTCCCTCCCTCTTCTTCTTTTATTATATTATTATTTTTATAGAATATAAGGTGTACTTGTAATAAAAATATAGGTTGTAGATGCTTTTATGGGTATAAAATAGTATTCTGCATCAGTATGTATTTGGTCTATTTGTTGTATGTGCCTTGGCATTTCACCCTTTTATGTTTTATATTTTATGCTTTTTAACTTTGTAACAAATATACTTTAAGTTTAAAAGTAAGTTGTACCATGTGACAATGTTAGCAAGGGCGGGAATCAAACCACCGCTTCTCTGTAGTAAGCGCGTCCCTGAACAAATCATGATTGATTGTGTAACACAGTAGCTAGCCAGGATAACATGTTAATGAGCAGCAATTAACACCTACCGAACCACAGACTAACCAGAGGAAAGGATCAATACAGAGCCAGGAAATCCCTGAAACTTCACTGTTAAAGGTACAGAAGCCCTGGTTTGAACTCATCAATGCCAAAGACTGATTCTTGAGACTGAATACCCGCCCCCTCGGATCAACCACTCCCAAAGCCCTATTCATCATGGTAGTGAATGAATCAAACTTCATCAACGGACTCCCAAGACTGCACATACCTGAGGATGTGACCCCTGGGGCTGACAGCTGCCATCCAGCAACCACCAAGGGGGGCATCTCACGAGGTCAACAACCCCTAGATTGGGTAAGCCCAAAAACTGGGGAGTCACCAAAGTATTCCAGGGAGGGATAAAAGGCAGTGAAGAGTGACCCCCAATGGTGCCCTTTTTCACCTGCCCAGCACCCTGCCTGCCCAGCCAGAAGGACCAGATGGCGACCCCCTTCTGAAACAACATCTCACCAAAAGAAGCCTTGACTCGCCATCAACAGTGGACTCCAGCGCTTGGGGATAGGTATATCTTGATACCGGTGCTTATTGTTCATAGCTAGCTACTGTGAGAGAGAGAGAGAGAGAGAGAGTGTGTGTGTGTGTGTGTGTGTGTGTGTGAGGGAATCAGCCCCAAGGTTTATGATCTGACTTTTGCATCCGTCCTGTAAACTAGAATTTTATGGTGATCCTGCGAGTTGGTCCTTTGTAGCCAACAGTCACGCAGGCGACACTCAGATTTCAATAACTTGGGGAGAGGGTGCCAAAACAACTGGAAGAATGTGTTTTCATCTATGATGGATACTCCTGAACCTGAGTCCACTTCCATTTTGCACTTCTTTCCATTCATTACTACAGTTGCAATCATCTCAGAACTTGGAGTTTCAACAACAACAACATTTTGAATCAAATATGGTTTTTGTACCTCACAGTTGGGGGAGGACTCTAATCTGTGAGTGGTTTGGGAGTGAATACATTTGCCACAGTCTTTTTGTCTCCTGGAACTGGCCTTTGAGTGGCAAACCCTCTCTATGTGGCCCTCCCTTCTTGCAGGCATGACACTCTGCACTTCTAAACCTGCACTCCTTTCGTCTATATTGGCAGCCACAATTCAGGCATGTCTGTGGATTACTTGGCTTATGTGCTGCTGTTGGTGAGGGTATAGTCTGCTGAATTTGCTGGCGATGATCTGATTCTTGATCTTTTTGGAGTAAGTAGACATTGCTGAAGAATGCCTGGTGAATTTCTCTCACATTGTGGAATGCTGCTTCAGCTGCCAAAGCTTTTTCCTGTGCAGTAGTGAAGGTCAAATTTGGTTCAGAGAGCAGGCGATGTTGGATTGCTTCATCTTGAACGCCACAGAGAAGACAGTTGCAAAGCAGGCCATCCAGGAGATCACCGGACTCACAAAATTAGCAAGGCGACGGAGCTTAGCCAGGTAATCTGCTATGCCTTTGTTGGCCTTTTGGTCCTGTTTAAAAAAAAAAAAGAAATCTCTGTAAGATAACAGATGGCCTTGGGCAAAAATGTGCCTTTAGCAGGGCAATTAGTTCAGCATGAGACTTAGTGTTTGGTAAGGCAGGTGCTGTGAGGGAATGGACAATGGCAAATGTTTTGGCACCAACGACTGTCAGGAGGATTGCACGTTTCTGTTCTGGGTTTTACATTTTGTTGGCTTCCAGGTAATAGGATAGGCTTTCTGCATAAGAGTCCCAAGAAGCTGGCCGGTTCGCATCAAATTCTTCTATATGCGTCAATGTAGCCGTTTTAACTAACATCAGCCATATATAGAGAAAAAAAGGAGGAGGAAAAAAAAAAAACGTCCCTCTGATCACAAAACACAGCCAGGTCTCAGAACATCATCCCACAATCTAGAGGGGTCTTTTCAGCAAAGCATCCCATTCTTGTCGCCAGATGATAACTTGTGAGTTCAGCAACAACACTCTGGACACTCTTATGCTCAACTAAGTTATTTATTATCATAATTCTCTGGACTCATATCCAGGGTGGATCTTCTCAATTGCTCTCAGTATATGTATGCAGATCTTATACTTACTCTGCCTCTGACTTGACCCTGTACAGTCCTGTGGAGGAAAAGAAACCCAGAATGTCTCTGGCTCCTGGTGGCAGAGAAAATGGAGTCATGAGTGCTGCAAAACTTCCACAAAGCAAACTGAAATCTGCAGCGCTGAACATGATGGCTTTGGCCTTTAAGGGACAGTGCAAGGAAAACACAATAAGACACAACAAGATAAGAAAAGAGGACCTTTTCCTCCTCCTATCTGTGAGGTTCCTTAAGGCTCTGTCCATGATCCTTTGCTGTTTTAGTTTTATATCCTATCCTTTCCTAAAAGGCTATTATTTCTTTTCTGTCCACGCTCACATCTAGCTCTTCATTCTGCCCTGCATCTTGACCTGCCTTTTTGACATCTCCACTTGGATCTTATATCATCAGGTTAAATTTCAGCCAGCTCATCAGGAGTTTTCCAACAAAATATTTTCCCCTTCACTAAAATGTCGCTTAGCTTTGTTCTGCAATGTACATACCACTTCTGATAAAGTTGGGATTTCTGGTCAAAAAGACATTTTTCAAGGAACTGTACTAGAGGCGGGTAAAAACAGTACACACATGTGATGTGAGAAGTCCAGGTTTTGCTTTAGTGAGTATTTAATTA